AAGAAGGATATAATGAAAATTAAGACATTCAAATACAAATGAGAAGTCATGAAAAATGCAGTATTCTTTCTTTTTCAACAGTTTTACTGGCATGTAATTCACACATCATACAATTCAGTAGTTAAATTACCCCGAGAGATACTTACCTCGCAGGGGAGATGCCATGATCACCAAGGTTTTTTTCCCAGAACGAGCCTTATCCCTTGCACTCTGGATGTGCTGACCCCTGCGAATTCCCCAAATGTGAGAACTCGACTGCATCGTTTGTGGTAGTGGGGGGCTGCGTTCGCACTCTCCCCTGTAAAAATAAATAAATAAATAAATAAATAAGTCGCCTTGAGAAGAGTTACCCAGTCATCTCCACAACAATCGGTTTCAGAACATTTTTTTCATTCTTGGACGCATCACCATTAGCTCCCTGTTTCTCCCCACCCTCCCTGGCCACGCCCCCAGGAAACCATTAATTCAACTACCTATCCTGGATTTCATATACAGAAAAAAAGTTTTTTAATTAAAAAAAATCAACAATAACAAGGTGAAACAGAGGAAAACCCTTAATCATGAAGATGTACAGTAAGTCCCGGAAACCCTCAGGGGCAGTTCTACCCTGTCCCATAGGGTTGTTAGGGTCAGAATTGACGCGAGGGCAGTGAGTTTGTGGCTTTTGACCCATTTGATACCAGTGGTAGCAGCCCCACTTCCCTGCACCTCAGGGTACTAACAACCAAGATGTGCAGCAAAGTCCCCTGAGCAGCACAGTCGATTCTGGTTTAGGATTGCGCATCCAAAGAGGTGAAGTACATAGTTGAGGTTCCCAGAAGCAGGTACTTAAACGGGTGTCGTTTCCTTTATCCTTTATTTCATGTATTTGAAGTACACAATTTCCTAAGAAAAAAAAGAATCTTATTTGCCAGAGAATCTTAGGCAAAGTAAAATGTGTAACTCAAAAAGATTACCTAGGTATATTGATTTATTAATCACTGCTATCTACTTCCTAATCTGCAGATTGATTCTGTTCCACATCTCATCACCATCTTTATTTATATTTTACCTGTACTACCCTTTTCATATTTTAGATTAATTAAAGAAAACAAGCGGCATCAGGAGCTCATTTTAGATATTTGCTCAGAAAAAGACAATTTGAGAGAAGAGCTTAAAAAAAGAACAGAAACAGAGAAGCAGCATGTGAGCACAATTAAACAGGTAAAAAAGGCAAATGCTTGATATCCTTATTGTAATTTATAAAATAAATGCTCCCTGATGAGTTGTGTAAAAATTGAACTTTTGGAAGTTAAATTATGGACATTAAGTACAGAGAACGATTTAATATTTAAAGCAGTTTTTTTTTGTAGAGTGGAAAAGAATGTTCAGATTTTTCAAACAAAACCTACATTTTAAATGATCTATGTGATTGTATTTTATATTATAGACATCTGGGGAGTAAAAGGCAAGTTGATTTGACAGTCAGACTACTTGTGCCACTGAAGGGAAGGAGCAAAATACTTTACAAGTGTATATCTGACGTTAGAATTGTCCCATGGGTTGTGCGAGGGACTGCAAACCGCAAGAGCAGCAGTTTGAAACCACCAGCTGCTCCCCAGGAAAAAGCTGAGGCTTAATGCTCTAGTCAGATTTACAGCCTCGGAAGCCCCAGGGGCAGTTCTACTTTAGGGTCCTGTAGCATTCTGTGAATTGGAATTGAGTCGATGGTGTGAGTTTTATACTGTGAAGATTGGCTCATCATTTTGTATGCCTAGCTGTTTTCCCTAGCTTATCTTCTTTTCTTGCCTTTCTTTTTCTTTTTTTCTGTGTCTCTTCTCCTCTCCCCCCTCCCTCTCCCATCCCTTCTCTCTCTTTCTCTCATACTCCCTCTTTGGTGCCTTACACTGTTCTACTACATGGAGCAACCAGTGAATACATAGACCGGGAGCAAAACTCAGCTGCTCCATGGCGTTCTTCGGTGGATGAGAAAGAAACGGGTTAGCCTCAGGGGTCTTTCCTTGTGCTCCACACCTATCACGGAAAATTGTACAATACAAATCAAAGTCAACATGTTGTAATAACCAGAAGTTCCACTTGTTTTTGCCTTGGCACAGTAACACGCTTTTATATAGTTGCCATGTGACTGTATTTGTAAAAATCCTTTGTTTTTAAATCCTGAGTTTTATATGCTTCAGATGCACTCCATGTAAATCAGTCTTTGAACTCTACAGTGCTCAGAAACCTTTGAAATAGGCCGAGTCACTGTTTTGGCGGTCAGTCAGGTTCCACACTCAACAGATGGGAGGAAACCGCAGCGGCTCCTTTCAGCAGCTTATTGGTGATTTTTTTTTTCTCAAGAAGAAACTGAAAATAGAAAGAAAATGGAATTGTTTTTTCTTTTGCTAGCACTTAGAAAATGACACACCAGACTAAAATTCTGGTGTAGCAGGAGTCTCTTAATTGTCTCTATCTGCTCTGTTCTTCTGCTTTCTTTTGTGTATTAAGTGGATATTTTATAATGCAATGTGCTAATTTCTCTGATGATTTTTTTAACTGGCTTTTGATTATTTCTTTAGTGATTGCTCTAGAGCTTCCATACACACTTTAATTGATCAGGATTGCTTCTGCTGGATAAAAACTTAATTCCAGTGGATAGAGGGATGTTGCTAACCTTGACTGTTGGTTTGCCTGCACTGCTTCCCCCGTGTTTGTATTTTTTGTCCTTCTTTGAGGTGCTAGTGGTCTCTGTGCTATACCTACAGATAATACGGAATTCAATTTCTTTACAGTTGGAATCAAGAATAGAGGAACTGAATAAAGAAGTTAAAGCTTCCAAAGATAAACTAGTAGCTCAAGATATTGCCGCAAAAAATGCAATTCAGCAATTACACAAAGAGATGGCCCATCGGATGGAACAGGTGTTTTTTTCACATCTTGTCATTCTTAACTTGATACTCTCGTGATTTTTCTTGTCTATTAAAATAAAGTAGCCCTGGTACAGCATTTTGGACATCAGTGGTGTATTAAGAGCAATAGTTTTACTCTCTTGTAAAAGTTAGCCATTCTGAACATGCTAAACCACTACATAAATACACTCTTATTAAGAACAACTGAAATGAATGAAGGATGCATGTAGAATGCACAAGGAAAGGAGTCCCCGCCTCATCCCTTTCCATCCCATCCTTTGCTGCATTCAATCCCAGCAGGGCCAGTGCAAACACACATGTCCCCACCCAGCCTACACATGGGCTCCCCAATCTAATTGTGCAGGTTGGCATTTCCCTTTTCTCAGGCCAGATTGGGAGAATGGATATGAACCTCAGACTTCAAGGCAGGTGGAGCTGCGCCGATTCATTTTCAGAACTGTGAAGATTAACCCCTCCCCTTGGGTCAGGTGAAACAGATGCACCTTGTTAGGAGCATTTATTCCAATGGGGTACTTTTTGGAGCCCACCCTCTCACTGAAGGTGAAGCCCTGTAGGGACCCTAGTGGGCATTATTTGTATGTGTAGGACAATAGGTCTCCATTCTAATTCCTGACCTGACTGTGGGCTCGAGATCTCCTCTCACTGTCCCCATGGGCTGACTTTGGCCAGTGTCCTCTGGGTGACCACGGCCTGGATGAACCCAGCATGGCAATGGGGGAATCACAGAAAAGACCAAATGCGTCTGCTGAAGCGAAGGCTGGCTGCACACGTGGATGAGACTGAGTTATGGTTTAATGCATGGTTTTGTTCTATAACTTAAGTTTTTTCCGTTTTATTTTCAAAGTGCGTGGGTACATAATCCCAGAAATGCAGTGTGACGACCAAAAGACACATTTGGAAGATCCTGGGAAAAGCTTATTTCGGTTTGTTTTTATTGTTTGAAAAATATGTTGTCATTAATTCTGGCTATCATTTTTTTCCCACAGGCCAGCAAACAGTGTGAAGAGGCTCGCCAGGAAAAAGAAGCAATGGTGATGAAGTATGTCCGAGGGGAGAAGGAGTCATTAGACCTCCGAAAGGAAAAAGAGATGCTTGAAAGGAAACTTAGAGATGCGAATAAGGAATGTGAGAAAAACACTAACAGGATTAAGCAGCTTTCTCAGGAGAAAGGAAGGCTGCACCAGCTGTATGAGACAAAGGTATCCATCCCTCTGCTGTTTCTGTCCAGTGTTGACGTGTCCTCTCTTCGTTGTGCCCTGTTTAATCAAGTCATCGTAACACAGCCTGGTAAAGCATAATGGCATTGTGTTCCTCTACTAGTGTACTTTTGAAGAATGTGAATGTTGTCGGCATTCTGATATCTTGACAGACTTAATATTCCTTTATGTAGTTGGTATATTTCATTCTCAACTGCCTGCAAAAGAGGTTTTGAAGGTAGCTACATATATTGCTTCTTAGTTAACTTTGATCTTAATGAAAAATCATACTATAGGAACACTTTGATATGTTTCTTACAGAAAAACATGCCCTTGGAGGCTGGCCAAGACTCAGATAGCTACAGAGTGACTCCGCGCCCCAGTGATTCAAAGCAGCCTGGTGGGGCATGGTCATGTCCTACTGCATTATCACTTTTGCGTGATGAATGTTCGTTTTTCGTTATTAAGTTTTAATTTGGAAATGTTCTCAAGAATTTTGACAAAGCAAATTTTGTTCATCTCTCCCTTTTAGTGTCAGCCACTTGGGAAGAATTATAAAGATAGGCATGTGCTCACACACAGCCAGTTAGCTAAAATACAAATGCAAGCCATATTTATGTCTATTAATTTGATTGGGCTATTTCACTGCCCTCTTATAATTTGAACTTTGAATCAGTTTTATGTAACTTTAAAATTTGGAAGAAATGTAATGGCGTAAATAGAAAAGTAGAGAGATACAGTCCTTTTGCAAGAAAGATAAGAAGCCTTTCAATTAATTGATAAATGGAAGAAAAGGGATTGGAGAAATTTCTCCAAAATTATCCTCACAAACTGTGCAATGATTCTTGCTTGGAGAGCGACTTAAAGGAGACCTCGTTTTAACCAGAGAACAAGCAAGCAAGCAGCCGTGTCAAGAATTGATGAAATTTCCCCGGAGGCTCGTCACTGTGAAGGATGGGGAAGGAAGTAAGGGCCCGTGGACAAAGAGAAAGGGCCAGAGGAGAAACCCTCAGTAGGCTTTGCAGGCTTAGGGTCGGTCGGTCGGTGCTGCAGCCCGCCCCGCCCTTGGGCCTGGAAAGCAGCCGTAGACAACGTACATAACTGGTGGGTTGTTTACGTGAAAAATATGACCTGGTGCTGTTATTTTAGGAAGGCGAAACAACTAGACTCCTCAGAGAGTTGGATAAACTGAAAGAAGATATCAACTCGCACCTCATCAAAGTAAAATGGGCCCAGAACAAATTGAAAGTTGAAATGGATTCACACAAGGTAAGTGACTGCAATCAGTCAAACCTTTCTTAGAATCAACTTGAAGAACAAATACGGTAACAGTTAATGAGGCAAACAGCCTGGGCCAGGATATTTGGTGTTTGTAAAAAGAATACTTCCTTTGGTGCCTCACATTTCAAATTCATTGGAATGTTATATTTTACCATTTACAATCCCAAATTATCCTGGTTCTTTCAGCATTTTTAATGTTACATTTTATATTATGGTCATGGGGCGGGGCTGAATGGAGAGGGCAGAATCTAAAGACTACCAAAAGAAAACTTTCAACCAAGAGAAAAATTTAAAATATCAAAGATGCTATGATTCTTATAATAAATATTATTTCCAATTTGAATATAATTAAGATTTTAAGGCTAGAATAACTTTCCTTATGTATTTGTTATGACTTGGATCCCCTTGATATTGTGTCTATTGCAGTGGTTCTTAACCTTCCTGAGGCCGCGACCTTTCCATACAGTTCCTCATGTTGTGCTGACCCCCAACCTAAAAATTATTTTTGTTGCTACTTCATCACTGTCATTTTGCTACTGTGATGAACGATCATGTAAATATCTGATATGCAGGATGTATTTTCATTGTTACAAATTGAATATAATTAATACATAGGGATTCATCACAGAACAATATGTAATTATATATTGTGAAATATTTATTTCTAATAACAAATAAAATTTTGTCCTGATGTGTACCTGGCATGGTGTAGCGTGGGTCACAGTCCATGCCAGGTGCTCGTATATGGGCGTATCTGCATGTGGGCAGACCCGCCTGGAGATGAGTAGAGGAGTGGTGTCTCAGTTCCTAGACCATCGGAAATATGTTTTCCGATGCTCATAGGTGACCCCTGTGAAAGGGTCTTTGAACCCCCAAAGGGGTCGCGACCCGTACAGGTTGAGAACCGCTGATCTATTGACTATCAGAAACCATGGAAAAATAAAGCAAAATCAAAGCTGGAGCCTGTTGCCATCGCTCTAAGCACTAACTGAGCTTGTAGTAGAGGCCGTCACACTCTATGGGCAACCCTGAAATAGGACTGAGACACAAGGGAAAGGTCGTAGAAACGATCAGTTGCCATGTTTTTAAAAACAGACTCAATGATATTGTGTAAAACGATAGAGACTCATATGAACTAGTGCTTAGTCCACAGGGCTCGTAGTAACCTTATATTTACATATACTACTATCAGGGCAAGTTACTGTATTGACAGTGGTCAGAGAGAGATTGAGTGCTGGTCAGCCAGCACCTGTGGCCAAGGAAGGAGAGGGAGGGAGGAGCTACCCGAAAGGGGGACAGCTCCCAAGCTCACGCAGGACGAGGAACGCTTGTGGAAATTCTGCTAATTTGGCCTGACGGAACAAGGAATCCAAAAGCCCATCGAGACGACAGCACGGTAAAGCTGTTGATGACCTGAGACGCTTCAATAGTGACCTGTGGTTCTCTGTGATGCCTGTGGACCGGCCTCGTCTCGTGCACTAAGATTGGGCCTAACGCCTCTAAGAGATACGAACATGGACGAGTTACAGATGCAGAGTTCACCTGCGAGCCACCTGGGTTTAAAGAATGGTGGTAACAGATACTTGCGGCAACTTTGAGATCAGCTGAAACCAGATCCTCTAGCACAGTGCTTCTCAACGTCCCTAATGCCAAGACCCTTTACTACTGTGCCTCATGTGGTGGTGACCCCCAACCTTAAAATTATTTTCGTTGCTACTTCATAACTGTAATTTTGCTACTGTTATGAATTGGGCAATTCCTGTGAAAGGGTCGTTTGACTTCCAAAGGGGTCTAGACCCACAGGTTGCTCTAGAAGGTTGGGTAGAGGAGAGGGGCAAGGCGGAAGGCAACTTGGAGGAGGGGTTTGTTTGCTAATGAAGGTAACAGCTGTATTGACCTGGTATTTGGAAAATAGAAGTCTGCCAGTTTTTTATTAAGGAAAGACATTTGCCAGCCAGCAGTAGGTTAGTAGGTCTTTGTGTGGGCACAATACTGTATCCGATGATGTGAAGGACAGAAAAGCCAGAGAAAACCTAGAACTTTCTACGAAGGTCCAGGGATGGGATCTGGGTGACCCATTTTCTGCATGTGTCTAGTGGGCAGGAGTGTTAGTCTCTGGATAAAAGGATACATGATTAATTGTGATATGGCCCTGCTTCATGGAGTAACAGGGACCAGGTTTGCCCTCTCCCTTGGGAAATGAAGACAAAGCAGAACAGACAGAGGTTTCCAGACATAGTAGATACACAGTGCAAGACCGTGGCCCTTGAGAGAAGGAAACAAAGTGGCGCCAAGAGGAGGAACCCAGCAGAGTCCTTGCCCTGAATTAAGGAGACAGATCCCAACAGCCTTGGTGGTATAGCGCTTACACAGTGGGCTGTTCAAACCCACCAGCTGGAGCTTTCTACTCGTAAACAAAAGTCTCGGAAACCCATAGGGGGCTCCCTAAAGTCCCCACCCACCTTAGTGAGCTTGGTTTTTGGAGAAAGAGACAGTAGCAGACAAGATGCAGAGATCTGCAGTATGTGTGCCCCAGGTGTGTCTAAAGAAACTACAGACAGGGAAAGAGCCATCAGGAAGAACTCCCCCCTGGGCTCACCTTCAGTCATTTAAAATAGTCATTGAACAGTTATTAGAAAGGTGCGGATAGAGGGAGAAAACAGTTCAGAAGTGTCTGCTTAATGGAGGAAACCTAAGCCATGGTTCGGTGCCTTGGATTCTGTCTGGGAAGGCAGGGTAGAAGCGTCTACCTCTGTCTATCAGGAATAAGCAGGGAAAGCCACTAGGAGGCAGTGATCACTAAATTCTCCTTTGCATCCCAGATGCTAGCCTGAACCGGGAGGCTGGATGGGTTCTCTGAACGGGAATTGTGGAGTAGTTGCTGCAGGGCACGGGCAGGAAGTAGGAATCCCTGGAGGAGATGGCAGGGAACTAGATGGCAGACATTGTTATGTGCTGAATGAGAGGAAGGAAAGTAACTGCCCAGGTGGTCAGAAAGAATCAAAGCAGGTAAGTCTGAAGGAAAACCCCAGGAAAAGTCCTTGGATTTCATGAGAGTTTCTGCAAACCTTCCGAATTGCTCTATTAAGAGACTAGTTAGGAACAGAAACCAAATTACAGCAATTAGAATAGTTACTACAATTAGAAACCAAAGGTTTTTTTTTTTTAATGTATGTGCTAAGAATTAACACTTTGGTTTTCTTGTCTTACCAGAAATGAAAGTGAATAACTTTTAGAAATCCGCTTCCAATTTATAGATTAAACTTTAATGGCTATTAATTAACTACGGACTGAATTTTCAAGTTTTTGGCAGAAATCGAATATTAGTACTTGAATTGTATCAGACCCCTCAAGGGCAGTGCCAGGACCAGAACTCTTCCCACACCCTTGTGACCATTGTTTTCATATCAATGCAGGAAACCAAAGATAAACTCCGAGAAACGGTAACAAAGTTAACCCAAGCCAAGGAAGAAGCAGAACAGATAAGAAAAAACTGCCAGGACATGATTAAAACCTATCAGGTACGCTGCTCTTTTCTTTCCTTTTTAAATTAAATCATTTTATCGGGGGCTCGTACAACTCTTAACACAATCCATACATCCATCCTGTCAAGCACATTTGTACAATTGTTGCCCTCATCATTCTCAAAACATTTACTTTCTACTTGAGCCCTTGATATCAGCTCCTCTCTTTTCAAATAGACATCTTACTGATGCTGCCCATCAGAAGGCTTGCCTCATGAAAGTTCTGCACCCGCAGTGTTTGAAGTGTAGAATGGATTTGGTAGGGCAGTTAAGTAAACCAGGTGATCCGCTATGTGGAAGCATATGCAGCTTCAATAGAGAGCCTATTAGAAAAGTTTTCAACTAAATGAAAACCTCAGAAAGTGGCAGAAGAATGAAAGAGGACCAGGAAATGTAGAACTGGAATCAACCAGCCAGGCCACGTTGTATTACATCATCATCCCTTGTCCATACCAAACTGAACTACATGCTCTGCCTTGTGGGGGGCACTCATCTTTAGATACCTAACAAGCTCTCTGGGCTTCGCAGACCAATGGAGTTGTGCACCTTCTTCACTTTTCAAAGTATAAAACCTTAAAACTAAGCCATGCTTGCTCCTTCATTTCATTAGGAGTCTGAAGAAATTAAATCGAATGAGCTTGATGCAAAGCTCAAGGTCACAAAAGGAGAACTTGAAAAGCAAATGCAAGAAAAATCTGACCAGCTAGAGGTGAGTAGTTCTTATTATATGCAGACAGGGAATACGCTTCCTGGATGTATGTATTGTTGTGTGTTTTAAGGACTTTCTGGAGAAGCAGACAATGCATGTTATACTTGGTGTAGTGATTAATGATTTGTGCTTCCTCCTAAACCTTCTCCAAGATGCATCATGCCAAAATCAAGGAACTAGAGGACCTGAAGAGAACGTTTAAGGAGGGCATGGATGAGCTGCGGACATTGAGAACAAAGGTAATTCATCAATAGCTGTGAGTCCAGCCACGGGGTAAATGCTGCTTTTCATTTTGATTTTTTTTAACGGAAAGGGAGAGATAGTTTTTTGCAAGTTTCCCAAAGTGAAACCACTCAGGATTAGAACAGATACGTTCTGAGTGGAGTGAGGCGTCCTCAGTTTCAGCCCGTGACATGTTTGCCAAGCACACCTGGGTCAGAGCACATTGGCTGTCTTTAACTTATCCATGGGCCTCGGATCTACGGGGAGGCTCCTCAGGACATCCGTGTAAGGTGGTTGGACCTTAGAACAGTGGATGTCAGAAAAACAATAGGAAGACTATTGTCAGAAAAACAATAGGAAGACTATTTCTCCTGAGTATATTTAATAGGCTTAGGTGGATACTGTTTTAATTTCTAACAATCTGTCCAGTGTTTATCGTCTTTATTGTTTAGCCTCTTTAATATGAGTATGACTGAAAGAGAGCCCTGGTGGCAGAGAAATGAGCTGCCAACCACAAGGCCAGTGGTTTGAACTCACCCGCCTCTCTTAGAGATAAAGATGAGGCTGTCTACTCTTGTAAAGATTTAATGTCTCAAACTCAAAGGGCAGTTCCACCCTGTCTTGTTGAGTCACTATCAGTCAAAATTGACTTGAGGGAAGTGAGGGGTGTTTTTTGTTTTAACAGTTTCATTGGCATAAGCCAGGGGTCCTCAAACTGCCAGCCCGCCCGGTGTTATTGCTGCCGCTGCCTGTCCTGCTTAGCAGCCGACTCATCCCGGGCCCATAGGAATTTGTTCATAGTTTTGTTGTTGTTTTTTTAACTATAGTCCAGCCCTCCCACGGTCTGAGGGACAGTGAACTGGCCCCCTGTATAAAAAGTTTGAGGACCCCTGGCATATACCGTACAATTGAATGCTTTAAATTTATTGAAAAGAGTTGTGCCACAATTATCACCACAATCAAATTTACAACATTTTTTTCAGTTTTGGATCCAGTATTCTTAGTGCCCCATTTCCCCGCTTGGTTGGTTTGCTAGATGACTCTGAAACGTGGGATCAGTGTGTAGCATGCATCTACTTCAAACTAAGGCTTTTAAAGTACCTCTTTGAATTTCCGATAATTCACACTTGTCCAGAACTATCACAGGGTATATTATGTACTTCCCTATTTCTTTTCCAGGCCCGTTCTCTTGAGGTGGGTAGAGAGGTATCCTCCCTTCTCAGGTGAGGATCTGGAGACTGAGAAAGAGCAAAGGGACATGCTTAAGCTCCTGTGACTAAATCATGAGAGCGCTGAGCCTAACGCCCAGGACCGCCGAGTTGCTGTTAGGTGCTGCCTCAGTGGCCCTCTGCGTGACGGAGTGAGACCCTGCCCAGTCCTGCGCTGTCCCTGGCGTCTGTGTCTGAGCCCGAAGCCGCAGTCACCGCGCCAGCTCATCTCGCTGAGGGTTTCTCGACCCTTGAATACTGACTCAGAACTCAGATTATTACTGTTGGCACTGTGAAACCAGTTTACAGGGGATTGAGAGATACTGCTCGTACTTTAACTTGGTTCTGATCATTTCATAGGTGAAATGTCTAGAAGATGAACGACTAAGAACAGAAGATGAATTATCAAAATATAAGGAAATCATTAATCGCCAGAAAGCTGAAATTCAGAATTTACTGGACAAATTGAAAGTTGCTGATCAGACACAGGAGCAATTTCAAAGGTATAAAATGAGCTTCTGCTTATGCCAATGCAGAAGAGTTCTTACTCTTCTCAGGATTTGGACTAAATGCAGTTGTTTTGAGGGGGGGGAATTATTTTTAATTTTTGTCTTGGTTTCACTTTTTGGAAGTATTTTTAAGTGTCTATCATGACTTCTAAAAATCAAAGTTTATATTCCTTGAACATTGGTGGAAGCAATTTCTAAAAGGATGATCAGGTTAAGTCTGTTCCTTAGCTTTCAAAGTCTTAGGCATGCACAGTACTTTTTCTTTAAAGGTCGATAATATGTTTGTAATGACGGAACCCAAAGACAGGAGCTGACATCACTCCGGGCCTCTTACACAATGAGCTAGTTAAACCGTCTCAATCTGTTCCTGGCAGAGCCTGGACTCACAGTGAATCCAAATATCTTCGTTTCGAGGCCTCACAGATACCCACGCTGCTGAGTGTCGCTAAAGAAATCCCCACCACCCACTAGATTGGCGCTGCTGTAAATCTGAGCCCATCCACTTCTCTGAGATTGTAAGGCCCCTCGAGTCCTCCCGTATGTCCTTGATCAGAGCCTCCCCTGCACCTTGCCAACATCTATTCCAAGCCTTCTCTGAGTCGCCACACTTCTGGCCACCCCATTACTTTTTCACTTACTCTTGACAGATGCTGATGTCGTCTCAGAAAAAGATTACGGGGGCCGGAAGCTGAAGGCTCTCTCCACTTCTCCCATAGAGAGTATGCATTTGCTGCTCCTCTTTCCTCCCATCTGTGGTCATGGAAGAAAGTCTTGTGCTCTTCTGAATCTAGTTGCCCTCTCCACACTCCCTCCCTCCTTTCTGGTGGCTTCCCGTTCACCACTTGCTCCCGGTCTTCCACCACCTTTCTGGCCACAGGCTTCACCTTCTGCCTTTTTCGTGCTCGCCTGACGCTGCCGTGTATGATCCCAGTAATTCTCACCTGGTGCTGCAGGACCTTCACAGCATCCCCAGCCCTGATGGCTGCGCTCACCTGTCCTCTCATAAACGAGCTTCTCCAGTTGGAGCTGACCCAAGGAGAGCCAGTGTCCTATCATCTTAATGGTCCAACTTGGGTGCCCAAGAGTTATCCTGGGCCCTTCTTGTCCCTTCCAGCATCTGACCATGCAGAAAATATTGTTGATGGCCAGCCTCTCTTTGAGCGCTTTCACATCTGTTTACTGCTTTCCGTTTCCACTGCTACTGCTGTTAGTCCACACCATTGCCGGCTGCCCTCTGGAGAACTGCAATAGCTTCTAAGCTAGTTGTTTGGCTTGCTTCCCCTCTTATCCATTCCTGACTGCAGTTAGTGTCATCTTTTTTAAAAAATCATTTTATTACAACAATCCATACATCAATTGTATCAAGCATATTTGCACATATATTGCCATCATCATTTTCTAAACTTGTACTTTTTATTTGAGCCCTTAGTATCAGCTCCCACCTACCCTCGTAACCCCTTGATAAATTATAAATTAGTGTTGTTTTCATGTCTTATACCAACCACTGTCTCCTTCAACCACTGTCTCCTTCAACCACGTTTCTGTTGTTCACCTCCTTGTGTGGGAGGAGGGGATTATGTGTCTATCATTGCGATCAGTTCCCCGTTCTTCCCCTCCTCCTCCCACCTTACCCCTACCCTCCTGCTATTGCTATACCCATTTCTGCACCTGAGGGGTTGATCTGACCTGGATTCTGTGTGTCGTGAGCTCTTATCTGTACCAGTGTACATGATCCAGTCTAGCCAGAACGGAAAGGCAGGACTGGGGTTATGATAGTGGGGGCTGAGGAAGCCTCAAAGAACCAGAGGAATATTATGTGTTTCAACAGTGCTATACTGCACCCTGGTTGACACATCCCTTCCTCGTGACCCTTCTGTGAGGGGATGTCCTATTGTCTACAGATGGGTTTTGGGCCTCTGTTCCAACTGCTCTTGTTCTCAACAATGTGTTTTGTTTGTTTTGGGTCTTCTGGTGCCTGTTACCTGATTCTGTCAACGCCTCATGATTGCACAGGCTGGTGTGCTTTTTCCACGTGAGCTTGTTGCTAGATGCTAGTTGCTAGATGGCCACTTACTTAACTTCAAGCCTTTAAGACCCCACACACTGTATCTTTTGATAGCCGGGCACCATCAGCTTTCTTCACCACATATGCTTATGCACCCATTTTGTCTTCCGCGATGGTGTCAGGAGGGTGAGCATCACAGAATGCCAGGTTGTTAGAACAAAGTGTTCTCGTGTTGGGGGAGGGCTTGAACAGAAACCTAAAATCCATCCACATCCTCATGTATGTACATAGGCCAATATCTCTGTTTTTATGAATCAATATATTTATGTAAGTGAACACCTAGGTGTACACCTCTATCCAAAGCTTTGCATCCTAGATCTTTCGTCTGTTTCCTTTTACCTTCCTCCTGCCCCTCCACGCTCGCCCATCTTCTGCCTCATAGTCATTCCTCTCAGCTAGATTGCTGTTGCTTCAACACCACGGGGATCTACATCCTCCTGTTGATGCTTTTAAGTCCCTTACTATCCCCTGTGTGGCATTGTTTGTTCCTGCTCCTTCCCCCAAGTCCCTCCAGAGCCATCGGTCCCATTGCTTTCTCCTAGGCGTGCTTCCCATGCCTGTCTTACATGGGCAGGCAAAATAGTGCCATCCCTTTGGAAAGCTCATCTGTGCAGTGAGGCCTCTCACTGATTCCCATGGCCTCGAGGACAGCCTAGTGCATTCAGACACCTTCATGTGGCTTGTCAGGCCCTTCATGACCTGTGCCTGCTTCTCCCTTCCACCTCTCCTCGCAGTTTCTGCATGCATGATGATCATCTCCTCTATCCCGAGCCCTGTGTTGTTCGCCAGGGGTACAGTATGTTCCCTGATTGAGCACATGCTGTTCCCTCTACCCTGGGCATCGTTTTTCTCCCACCGGCTCTGCCTTTGCTTTGAGTCCAGGGCTCCTCAAACTGTGGCATTTGAGCCACATCCAGCACGCCACCTGTTTTTGCATGTACAGGGAGAGCCAGCCACGCTCATTCCTTTCCGTGTTGTTTCTGCCTGATGACTTCAGGCTGTAAAGTAGAACTGTTGCAATAAAGACTACGTGACGTGAATGCCTACATGGTCACCATCTGGCCTTTTATAGGAAGAATTCTTCAGCACCCGCATCATTTCAACACCATTGTTTAGATGCCGTCATCGTTAAATGTCATCATATTCATTATTTCTATACTTGACTCAAAGGCCTCTTAGACAGAGCAGGGGCCAGGCTGGACTTGTTAACTTACATCGCTGTTCATTTATACCCACCGCTTTTCATTCCTGGCTTACCTTCAGTAAACCCATTGCTCTCTAGTCAGTTCTGACTCAACGCAGCACTGTAGGACTGAGTAGAACTTTCCAGAACCATCCCAAAGCTGTTACCTTTACAGAAGCAGACTACCTCCTCTTTCTCCTGCGGAGCAGATAGTGGGTTTGAACCACCCACCTTTCCATTTGCAGCTAAGCACTTTAACCAGTGTGCCACCCAGGCTCCTTTTGCATCCATAAATATTTGGATGAGTGAATGAAAGTACCCTTAAAATGCATTCCGTTTGATGAGAATGCTTGAGCCGCTAATGGAATGTCCTTTACTGATTTAACTTTTTCTTAAATGTACTCTGGTTCTAGAGCTCAGCAGGAAGTTGAAACTCTGAAGGAAGAGGTGGACAGTCTTAATGCGTCCATGAGTGACCTCCAGAAAGACATCGAGGGCAGCAGGAGCAGGGAGTCGGAGCTCCTGTTGTTCACGGAGAAGCTGACTAGTAAGAACGCGCAGCTCCAGTCGGAGTGCAATGCGCTGCAGTCTCACTGTGACCAGCTGTCTTGCAGCGAGAGCCAGTTACACAGCCAGTGTGAACAAATGACCGAGACCAGTGCTCATTTGGTAAGTAGGACTCTGCCGGCAGCGTCTGAGGAAAAACAGTAAGACGCACAGGCAGCACACGAACGGCAGGGGGTGGTTCAGGCTCTTCTCCCCCAAGGAATGACAGATGCCATACAAAATGTCCGTTGTCTTTTTGAATGGTGTCATTTAGCGTAAGATTTGATATTCTGAGACAAATACAAGGAAACCCTTCATTTGAATAGAAGAATCAAGGCTGTCTGTCATTTCCACCTGGGATTGCACTGCACCCTAACATGGTACTTTAAGTGCCTGTGTTTTGTGTTCGTTGTTTCAAACACGGCATACTGCTGTGGCGTTATGAGGGCATTCTCGTTCATAACAGCGATATTGAGACTTTAGGACCGAGTAATTCAGAGGCCAGCGCACTGGTGGCCCTGCCCATTGGGTTATGCCCCGCTTTGCTCTGTGAGGACGCTGAGTGGCCTTGCAAACAAAACCTGGTCAGGAGTGACGGTGGGGGGACACGCTCCTGTCAGGGCCTGAGACGGCACACTGACCAAAATGAATGGGAAGAGATGAAAATTGACAATTTTGTTTGGTTTTGTCTCTTTGGTTACTCAGGAAAGTCGATTGCTGAAAGAGGAAGAACTGCGGAAAGAGGAAGTCCAGACCCTACAAGCTGAGCTCACTTGTAGGCAAACGGAAGTTCAGACATTAAGCACGCAGGTAGAAGAGCTAAAAGACGAGTTAGTAACTCAGAGGCGGAAACATGCTTCTAGCATCAAAGATCTTACCAAACAACTTCAGCAGGGTATACAATTCTTCCATACTTCGGCCTCAGTAGTTTCTTCTCCTTCCTCCCTTCCTCCCGTCCATCCATCCATCTTTCCTTCTTAAATTAAGGGTTTTGTAGAAAAGTGTATTTTCTACTACATGATGGTTGGAGAGACATGTTCTTTTTAATGTACTAATGTTCTTAGACCAAAGTGCTTAACTTCTTGCAATGCCATAGCCTGTCTTCTGCACTGATTGCCCCCTACTCAGAGAACCAAAGGGTGGGAGGGTTGGAACATGCTTCCGAGTATTTGTCTGTTATGGATCCCATATTCCTATCAGTTACATTTGAGCATTTGTTCCCCAAATCAGGTACGGTTGTTACAGAGGATAAACATACACTACTCAACATTAAGTGCATTAGAAAAAATATATGTATCAAATTTTCAAAGGATGGGACTAAATATAAATTCTGATGCCTTCTTCCCACTTTTCCCTGTACAGTGAACCCTCGCCACTTCGCGCTTCGACTTCCGCGGCTTCACTCTATCGCGGTTTTTGCGTAACAGCGCATGCTCTGTCATTACTGCCACTGATTGGCTCATACTGTACACGCTTCTGTCTGCATCGCTACGTATCGGAGCTACGTATCAGATGCATTTTTGCTTTTTACAGTGTACTGTAATTGTTTGCGATTTTTAAGAAATTTTATCTAAGCCCTATGATGGCTCCTAAACGAGCTGCTTCTTCTAAGCCTTCTGACAATAAAAATAAGCGCCCCTTCAGAGGAAAAAGACGGCAACCCACCTGTAGAGTACATCCCTTAAGTCATTTCATAGGCTATTGATTACAGTATTTGTAAGAACTATGTATAATAATACTGTATGTGAAATATGTAATACTGTAAACTAGATGCCATAAATAATATAATAAATAATAAATGATAATTGTAACGTCCAAAATGTTTCACTGTATTTTCCCTTTTTCGTTTAATAAATTGGATAATACGAGTGTAATGGTGACTAAAGGGTGTTTTTTCATGTCCTCTATGCTCTAACTACGAAAATATTTGATTTACAAATAAGGAATCCTACTTCGCAGAATTTCATTTATCACGGTAGGGTCTAGAACCGATTAACCGCGATAAACGAGGGTTCACTGTAAATGCTTTTGCCCAGCTCCATCTTCAAGGGAACCTATCCCGTACTTTGGAAACCACTTAGAAATCATTGATGTTAGCCACCATTTTTGCAGAAAAGACCTGGAAAGGTTTATAACTGATGGCTAAGACTGGACTCCAGGTTTCTTTTATTTAAAAGTTCATGTTATTAGGTCCCTGGGCTAAGTGTGTAGGGTCCACAAATACATGTGTCTCCAGGATTTTTACCCTTCTCTGCTCTTCCACCCAGCCCCCTGCTTTATTTGTGACAAACAAGCCCTGGTGGCATAATGGGTTACTCATTAGACTGCTAACTGTAAGGCTTTCAGCTCAACTCTCTCAGCTACTCCACGAGAGAAAGATGAGGCTCTCGTAAAGATTAGAGCCTCAAAACCCACAGGGACAGTTCTGTTGTCCAGGGCCACTGCGTTGGAATCACTTGATGGCAGTGAGTGCTGAGTGAGTGGCTTACGGTAATAAGATCAATGAAGTTTAGTACTTAGTGACTGGATCATTTCAGATAGTTGCCATTAATCACTTCGATCATGCAGATGTAACTGAAGGGAGATTGGGGTGGGGGAGAACTGAAGCGTGTTCTGTAACTGTGGGGATCTTCCACATTTCTCAGGACTGCTTGAAGTTAGTAACTTCAACTCCCAAAGTTAATGTATAGCCCACCTAAGTGAGACCGTTGTCAATTGCTGTTGAATCGTTGGGTGTACGGACATTTTCAGATGTCATTTTATATGGATGCCAACTTCAATCCCTCTTCTCTGCCCTTTGTAGGCAAGTTTTCTTTTGTCACCTGTGACGTTTTTTGTCTAAGATGTTTTGTCTAATTTTAACTGTTAAAGTCAGAGATGGCAGGAGTGAGTTGTCCTAATGATTGTCTCAAGGAATCCCATTTCTTTGTCCTCCAGCTCGAAGAAGGTTAGACCAGGCTGGCAGCGGAAGCAGCGGCGACAAAGACGCCAGCAGCATGGGCAGTCGTTCCAGCTCATCCGGTAACACTGGCGGTGGTTTCAGTTGGTCTTCAGTGATCGCTGACAAGAAGAAACAACATTGAAC